TAACGCACAAGGTATTTCAAATGAAGTAACGGGATGCAAAGGTCAACTCTACAGCAAATACCAAGTATTTTGCAAACAAAGCATCAGATAGAAAGACTATTAGGAACTCTCGTGTACTATGCATGAACCACCACTTACTGAATCATAGAATGGCCTAGGCTGGAAGGGACCTTAGAGATCATTTTAATCCAGCCTCCCTGAGGCCAGGGACGCCACCTCTCGACTAGATCAGGCAACACATGGGGACTGAACAGGAATCAAACCCACAACCTTAGCATTGTTAGCGCTACGCTCAACTGACTGAGCTAACTTACTGAATGAACCAACAGGTACTGAAATTTGTATTCCTATGGTTAGTTTCTCTGAACATATATGCGTTAGGATAGAATCCTAGTGTTTCAGCAATGTGTTATGAACTCTTTATAGCTCCATTTTTTTTTCCAGATAATTTAGTACTCACAAAAAATGCTTGTTTGACAGTCGCAGGAACAGAACACCTTCCCAGCTACCCAGCAGATTAGCACAGGAGGCACAAAAACATAACCATCTACCTCCTCACCCAGGTATCTCTGGACTTCAAGCCCAGAGGGCAATAGGGCATTGCTGGGACAGGTGTATGCAAGCAGGACAAAGAACCCAGAGATTTTAGCACAGAGAAGACCCTTACCCCATTGTCTCATGGTGTGTATCAACAGGACAGGCCTGAGCAGAGCACACCTCACAAAGTCACATTTTCCTTACAAACTAGCATCCTTATGGATGGAGAATCTTCTCTTTCCTTTTTTTTTGCTTTGCTTTCTCAGGCAATTTTGCCTCACTTTGACTTTCGAGAAGCATCTCCCACCTGCCCCCACTTTCATCGAGCGGTGCCTTGATGGCCCTGAGCAACCCCAGCTGGGGCTCCCCCAGCCCTGCCCACGCCAACCCCACCCTGGGGCTTTGGGCCAAAACAACAGGTCTTTCCAGTGGTACCCTCATACCCTGGAGCTGCCAGCACGCTTTATGTGGCTTAAGCAGTCCCATTGACAGTACATTATCTTTTTTCCTACAGGTGTGAATTAAAAGAATATACTTATAAATATGTATATGGGCTTTCACTTACTGGACTGTGCTTAAAATCAGCAAAAGTCCTCCCTTCCTCCATATTTTTCTGTTTTCACAAAATCCCTAAAGAATTTCCAAGTACCAAAGCTTTTTAATTTTTCTATGTTTTTTTTTAAGATTGCAACTATTAGACTTAAGTAATAATATGGAAAGCATAAGAGGAATGGCCCCCTCAGTCAGTGTCTCTGGCTGTTATAGAAGCCTTTACCATAGGTTCTTAGACAAGAATATAAGATGACTAGAAACTTAGCTTCTAAAACTAAAATTCTTTCAGTGCTTGTAGACTAGGAAAAGTACAAATTCCCTGATGTCAGTTTGGTCCAAACAGCCTCTGCTGCCTTGATTCAGTGATTTGAAAAATGATGACTTAGAGTTTTGAAAGTGCTGAGATATGTTATAGCCTGGTCCTCTTATGATCAACCGATCTTTTCAGCTCTTAATGGGAAAATAAATCACAGATAAAAGATAATCCCGTTGCACAGAAGCAAAAAAGGTGTGATATCAATAGACTTTTATAGAAAAAGAAAACTCTGTGAAAGGGATAAAGTAAATAAGGTAGTTTGTTCTGCTGATGCTCATGTTGGCAAGGTCAAAGCCCTCTTCAGGAGCTGCCTACCTCTAGAAATGGGAATGAAGCACAAAGTATATTCAAAGAATTAAAAAAGATACAAGACTTGTTTTTATTGTAAGCCTATCCTCAACCCCAGAGATCAACAATTTCAAAAGTCTTTTTAGATTTTTACTGTTCTTATTAGTTTTTTAATGATAAAGCTGTCAAACTGTTAGTCTGGTTTCTTTTCATATTCACCAGTTCTCTCTTATTTCATTTTGGATGCTGCAGATGACATTAATGGTAGCAGGAAAAGGAGCCAAATAAAGCTTTGCTATATTCTAATTAATGATTATTCTAATTAAAAAATACTTTTATATGGCAACCAGCCTAGAGTATCTTCTATGATCTTTAATTTTCAATGTGATACATATTATTTATAGCCTATAAATGTAGGTGTAACACAATGGCAAAGCAAGCAGGAAGAAAGATCCTACTAAGTATTTGGCCCGTATAAGAACTGATTGCATAGTCAATCTCTGCAATGTAAATAGGCTTTTTCAGAACACTTGTTTGCATTTATAATTAAATTAAACTTTAAGTAAAATGATAAAATAAAAATCTCTGGGAAAATCATATATATATATAAATACTGCTTTCCCACTGTTAACTGCTGAAAAATGAAAGGGTCAGAAACTGCTGCTGTCCTCAGCATCTAAGTGACAGGGGACAGCAAGCTCTTGGGGATATCAGGACAAGACTTGCTTTTGCCCCTCCAAGCACATGTTAAATAATTCCTGTCCCCGCCATCTATCCACAGTGTTTTTCACAGGTACACCATTACTCAGTGGACTCTTTCCTGCCTGAAGGTTCCTACCTACCAACTAGGCAAAATGATATTTAAGCAATTGAAGGAGCGGCCTGTTATCTTAAAGCCATTATTCGTGCCTGCGTTAATTCTTGAATGTTCCAGCTAAAAATTACTGGATTAGCCTTTGGGGATGGAATTGCTGGACTCTCCCATTTCCCCTCACGTGGTGTTGGTGTCACCTCTGAGGACTTCAAAGTGGCATTAGGGTTCACAGGAGATGAAATTTGGCATTTCTGCAGGCATTTACCTGAAGAAAGGCTAAGTACAGACCTGGTTAGGTATTTTTATAGCTAAGATTTTAAAGAACGTGTAACGGGGGACTAATTCCCATCAAAAATATATCTTGTTGTTATATGAAATGCATGAGTGCCACAGTTGTGTCAGTAAAGGTTGATGTAAGAAACAGCGATAATCACAACTTTCAAGACTGTAACATAGTTCTCCATGGGCACTAGTTTTCTTTGGGTTTTCTTTGGTCACTCAACAAATAAATTTCTTGTGTGTGCCCTAAGCAGCCAGTGTCAGAATGGCTTTAATGTACTATTAACTTCTCTTTTATATATTAATTTTTCATGGTAGTATAAACCAGAAGAAAAATGTGCCTGGTACCTCTGTGTTGCAAAAAGCCAGCATAGACTTCTGTCTAGCTTGTACAGCATCAGCCCATCTGTTTTAGGTGAAAACTTGAGCGGTAACATTAACCTCAAGTACGTTAACCTTTGGATGCCACGAGACATGATAGACAGGACCATTATTTTTATGGCACATTTTATCCTGAGCAAAGATCCTATGCAGTGAAGAAGGATAGAAAATCCTGGGTTTGCCTCTCTGTCTCCAAACAAAATACAGCATATGGTCATTTAAAAGCTAAGGCAGACTACATTATCGACACAAAAATACCCAACAACTATAAATCTAAGGGAACCCAAGTAATGAGTCAAAACCATGAGGCTGATGATTTATTCAGTCTCATTGAATTTACTGGCATAAATACTGATTCCTCATAAACCAGAATTCACCCTCCAGTTTCAGATGAAGACAAGACTGATCTGGAGCAGCTCAGGAGGAGCCAAACATCTACCAATCCCCTGAAACCTTCCCTAGAGATGTAAATGGAGGCTTGGAGGGGGAATATTTTTATACCCCTCATATATCTCACTTTCTTGAGATTTTTTTGAGCTAAAAATCTTAGTTTATATATAAATTAACTAAGGAAGTTGTTCTCTTAGGAGTTATCATCTCCCAGAAAACACATTCAATACAAAATATTGAGCAGTTCTGGTAAGACCCTCCAGGTAACTTTAGGAGTGTTGATAGACAGGAGAAAATGTTTCAGCAGTTTCATATTTATACTTGATTAATTCAAAATATTTTATCATTATGTAGTACCAGGAGGTTCACTATCATCAATAATATTTGCTACACTACTACATGTGGGGATACTTAGTCTTTGCCAATAGTAGTACACTGTTTGGAGAGGTGAATGTATTTGTCATTCCTGCCTGACCAATCTCATCTCCTTCTACGACTGGGTGTCCTGCCTGGTGGATGAGGGGAAGGCTGTGGATGTGCTCTACCTTGATTTCAGCAAAGTTTTTGACACAGTGCCGTGGTCTGGCCAGGGTGGTGGTGTTGGATCATAGGCTGGACTTGATGATCTCAGAGGTCTCTTCCAGCCTCAATAACTTTGTGTGATTCCGTTTAATTTATCCTAATTATCTCCTGATATCAGCTTCCACACCTCCAATAGCATCTATTGATCAATGTTAGATATATTTAGGCCATATCTGTTGGAAATGTTCTTTTGCATTTATGAAAATATGTTCATCATATGTGAAATCTGTGGAAACATGTTCAGTAAATATATACGGGTTGGTTCTAATTCTGGTTCTCAGGTCCCCTGAATATTCAGCTTTCCTCTTCTCATTGCCTGGGGTCAAATCTTTGTCTCTTCAAAATCAGTAACAAATCTTCCACTGACTCTGACAGAGCCACAACCCTAATTTTAGTATTTCCTTTTCAGTTCTTTTCAACACCTTTTTCTCTTTTGTTGTTTTACTTTGGATCCCTGTTCTACTTTTGGGTTTGTTTAACTTTCAACATCCAAACAATCTGCTATTTTTTCTTTTAATCTTTTTTTTTTCGTCACTTTAAGTCTTTAGTTTCTACATATGCTTTGTTTTCTGCCACGTTATTTCATGTATCAATTTCCTTCGTTTTTCTTTGTTTTTCTGAGTTTTTTTTTTGTTTCTCATCTCCTGTTTAACTACTATCTTCCCCTGCTTACTCTGCTGTTTTTCCTCTCTCCTAGCTGACATTTCCCTCTGTGCAATATCTTTCCACCTTCTCTCCCCTCTCTTTTCCAAAACACGGCTCATCGTTCTATGCCACTAATGTATAGCAGATTCTGAAATACTGTCATCTGAGACAGTTAAGTACTAAACAAAACATTACCAGGGTGGAGGAATCACTTACCCTGATTGACAACAAATCGTAACTTCTGTATTGTTGCCAGATTGCCGCTAACTCTGTATATTCCATCAACATCCAGACCTGAAAGAGAAACACATATTTCATTTTAGATAATATAAGTATTTTTCTTTGTACGTCTGTCAGGAAGCCAGAAGCGCCCTAACAAGTATGAAGAAGAGGAGCATAGTCAGCGACTGAAAAATAATCCACCTGACAACAACTGAAGTGCCTCCCGCCTGATTAAAAGAACAATGAAGAATAAAAGTGGTAGATTAACTTAAGTGAATGCAAAACACCTAACTATAATTATCTTGTAATTCTGTCAGCAGAATACGGTTCTGCACGGGTATTTGAGTGGGAAGGGAAGGGTGAATTAGCTCTCGTGCTGATGGAGAAGGCTTTTTGGAATACGCACGATGCTGTGCTAGCCCTGCTCAAATGTGTGTGGAGGTTATATTAATAGTGCCGGGGAAACTTCTCAGTCGGAGGTCTGGGTTTTTCAGACATGAATTTCTGAGGCTGTGACCTTTCTGAAAATAAAGCAGCGAGATGCCCACTCTGAAATCGCGACGTGCGGGAGACTTCACACAACTACCGTTTCCCTACTATATTCTTCATAGCAGATCAGACAAGTTGGAAGATGAAATTAAATATTCCAAATAGCATATGCCCTGGAGTACATTTCTTCATTAATATAGGCCATTCTTTTCAAGGACAGCCTGACAGTCTTGTTTCTCCCTGCATATCTACTCAAGGTTTATCTTCTAGGTGAAACTAGATGTCATACTCCCTTTTGTGACATATTATCTCCTACAGCAAGCTCTGCTGATATGACTGTTTAAAATAGCACTTCCAGCCCTGGTTACATACTTGTAGCATTTCAAAACACATGGGAACTGCTCTCCTTTCCTGGGAGAATTAGCTATGGTCGACAACAACCGAATCTGCATGTCTAAGAAATGAAAACACTAAAATCTATATTGTCATTTCATGTTTAAAATCTGCAAGTATATTAGAAGCTAAGAGAATCTAAAAAAACCAGTTTTTTTTTTAAGGCTACTCATCACCAGAACACAAGTTTTAATTAGATTTTGGCTAGCAGATCCAGAGAAAGCCTTTCTCTTGGAAAACGCTAATTTGTCAAAACCAAAAATTTCCAGGAAATATTTCCTGACAATGTATCTAGAAGGATTTTTTTTTCCAATTTGGAGTGAGGAAAAAGGAAAATCTGAAACAATAGAAAGGAGAAAAAACAAGTCCAGAAGCCCAAAAGTGTTATCAAATATAACATTTAGATAGGAAGGAGCTGATGTTCAAGTCTTTCTCTAAAGATACGGGCATCATGCCTTGGCAGATGAGTGCTACAACCCATAGACTCAACTGCTTGGAGAAATTCCTCATCTTGAAACATTTTAAAAGATTTACTTTTCTTTTTTTTGATGCAGAATGAAACCAAATAAAGTCTTTCATTTGTTTCCATGCTTGTTTTCTTTCTCTATAAAATATAGTTATTTTATGTCTGTCCTGCTAACAACGTTCTGATTTAGTCTACAGCAGATAATCTATTTTAAAAATTAATAATAATTCAGTATTTTACACTGGTTATCTATGTCTTTTATTAGACAATTCCTACCCTGCACCTGTGGATGTCCTGCAACATAATACTGAGATTGATGATTCATTTCAGGACGATCCCCTTTGGTTACAGAGGGATAAAGAAAAAGTTTATTTAAGAGAAATCAAAAAGGATTTGGTAATCAAGAACACTTGGAAGTTATCCATCTACTGGATATATAACATATGAGCAAATGGAAATTACCAAAATGTTTAAGTAGTGCAATTCTACCCTAAATCTGGAGAGTCTCGTTCTGTTTTAGTAAGGAGTTAAGGAACAAGAATAATTCCCATCAAAGAAGCGTGGGACTGTTGTGGTAAGGCATTAAGAACTGCATCATATAAATTGAAGTCAAAACCAGAAAATAAAGAGCAAAAACAAACCAAACAAACAAACAAGCTCCAAAACAGAATGTTAACTTTTGTTTGGATCTAACTCAGTTCAGTTTTAACCTTTTTGGATTTATGGAAGTGGGAGAAATATGGGTGATTTTGGGCGATACAGCTATGTCTCACATTAATAGTATTGATTTGGAACCTACATAAATTATCCAGATCAAGTGAAAATGACAAACCGTGCTGTAAATTGGTACATATTACCTCTTGTAAAATGATCTGGAGTATACAAGTGCATCGCTGTTGTTATAAATTTACTTTGGTCCAGAAATGAAGTCTGATTAGCATTTCATTTGGACAGTCTACAATATGGCAGAGAGAAAAAAAGTGTATAAAAAAATCCAAGAATATCAAGCCAATTATAGTGTTCACGTGCCATCAACTTTCTGCTCCAAGAACTTTGAAATTTAAGCCAAACCAAACCAATGCAAATTGGGGGATTTGGACATCCTTTTCATGACCACATTATCTTAGCTGGATTGTTAACAACTTATTTTGGAAATCCAATTAGGCACCAAAGATAGAGAGAGAGAAAGAGAGAGGGAGAAATATAACTTTATAGTTGTAATATCCTGATTCCATAAAAAATTTTCCAAACAAATTCACTCTTAAGGGCACCTCTATCAAGAATAAAAACATCGCTGCACTGCTGTCAGTGTTTCTTCATGGCAGGCTATAAATACTTAGGGAACAAGATGAAACAAAAGCCTTGCAGAGTTTCCTATCTGGTGCTGGCATTAAAATATAGTGGTAAAGACCGTTTCAGGAAAAAGATTCATCGTAATAAAGCCCAACTGCTGTTTGCTATAGAGCAACCTTCTTGTGGGGTTCATCAGGGAAGTATCGCTGGATTTTGCCCTAGAGGAGAACATTTTATTTGTTTTATATCCTGATCTCCAACTCTTGTTTCTGTTTGCTTTACTGAGGAACCTGAGAACAGGATGGACCCACAGTTAGGAATGGTAGCCAATAGCATGAGAATGACGTCAGTATTTCCACCCTAAATCTTGTATTGCTATAAAAATTGTAGGAAAAGGGCTTGCTCAAGAATACACCAGATCAGCTGCCAAACTATAGGCAATATTTTATTATTTCCTTTAAAAAAATTATACAGGTACTCCTGAAGAGAAAGTTTAAAGGCAACTGAACTCAGGCTTGGTTGAGATTCATGAACAATAATGAACATTATATTCACTCTGTATTACTGCTCAACAGATGTTAGAACACATATCTAAGAACATTTCTTGCACTCCTGCTTCTAGCCAAAATGGAAATAACCATGAATGCAGGTTAGCATCAGCCTGAGCAGCAGTTTGAGCTGGAACCAGGTATTGCAGAGAAGCATTAAAACCACAGGTAAAAAAAAAAAAAAGGCTCTGTCCATATATTTATCCAAACACATTTTAAAATACTGGAGGTCAATATTGGTTGAGGCAATCCTGATGCTTTATGACCTTCTTCAACTGAAATGTTCTCATTAATTCCTTTCTGTTACATAGAACAAATCCCTCTCCCAAATCACATTGCATTCTGCCTAAACTTAATTTGTATTTGACAATATCTACAAACTGAACATAAAAGGAAATTCTTTATGTGCAGAGGGAAGAGGGAGTGGTATACAGAAATTTCTTTCTCTGTTTTTTAACAAGATCTAGAATTTGAAATATTCCATTTTAAATGGTACTAGGTAACTTCCTGCACAGAAACTCATGAAAGTTCCACAATTAATGTATCCTGAAATAGGTGTGGTCCCCAGGCCTGGTAGGAGTTTAGTCAAAGAAACCATCGTGCTGGACTCAACAACAAAGTGAAGCAGGAACTTGAAGAAAGGCATTCTTTAGTTAGTCCTTTCATTTAAAATCAGTTATGTTCAGGGCAAAAATATTGTATTTCAAAGAAGCCTATTATGCCTTCCCATAAACAGAAAGATCATAGGTTTTAAAACTAAAGTATCATTATGTAATCAAGCTGTTGTATTATAAACTATTTTGTGGGCTCAGATGCCCAGGGCTATCTTTACAAATATTTAAGAGGTCATTATCAGGGTATGTTCTCCCTAAAACTATAATTCTTTCCTCCTGTTTTCATATGCATCTTACCATAAATATCTGATATATAAACAGTATTTTGAAGTTTACTAAGGGCACAGAAGTGATGCATGAAGTCATTTAAGGAAGCAGAAATGAGTGAATGAAACAAATACACCAATGGCAAGATGATGTGTCAGATGACAAAAAAAACCACAAAACAATGTGCGACAAAAATAAAGTTTCACAGAAAGATCAGTATTTGTGGGCCAGTAGAAGGAAAATCATGAAGGGTAGCTAAGAATAAAACTGACACATTAAAATTTGACATTAAATCTACTTTATCGGGCCAGGACTACAAAAGGTATCGGCATTTCAGATGAATGTGGGAGCAAAAAAAAAAGGGGGCTTTTCTGACATTATGGAAATCAGAGGTGAAATGATAACAAAACAAACCTGAGTTACAACACAGAGAGAAAAACACACAGAGACATTAATAGCAAACAAGGGACACATGGATGTAAAATACAATGCGGTCCACGTGTGGTGTGAGCTGAAGATACTTGGACCAGTAAACCTGGTTTGCAGCTTGATAAGCCTGGGTTGAAGCAAGCACCAGCTCCTTTTGAACATAAGACTGTCTGTGCTCAGCGTGGTTTTGAGTGATGCTGACATCTTTGTCCTGTTTTTTGGTGTGGCCTTGGGTGGGGTCAGGCATGTCCTAAAGGTCCTGGCGTGGTCCCGTAGGCTGACACCAGGATTTGTTTGGCTGAAAAAAACCAAACCCTTCTCTTTTGATCATCGGAACTATTCAATTCTTGTACTCCTCCCATCAAACGATGACCTTTGTGAGCCTGGAAACAGCTAACATTGTGAAAACAGGCTCCATTCCTAGTCCAGAGAAGGTTCTCAGCTACCACAGGAGTGAGTGCCATACAAATGTTGTGTTCGATAGTTCTACCAGATAGACAAAACCAATAAGGCTAGGATACCAACAGTGGGTGGTCCGCAATCTCAACCAATTGGAAGCCAGTTTGAAGGACA